TTGCACCCTTGGCTGGTGCCCTTCCCGTAGAAAGTTCACCTTCTGCAGAGACTGGGCTGTAAAAACAAACCCTTCCCTATTAGTTCAGCCGAATGAAGATTTTCAGCTTCTGGATTCCTCTCAAAGGAGGTCTGGTGTAGAGCTATTGTAAAAATATTTACGGCCCCCTTTTTGTTGTCTTGTTTTGTAGCGATCGTTGAATAATTGCAACAAGCTCAGAAAAATGATATTACATGTGGAAACAGTAGATCTTTCCTGTCTTGTACAGTCCATTGGTTTCTGACTGGTTTTGTTGGTTTTTTTAGCAAATAGCTTGCTTGACTTTGATTCTTTGAGGCTTATCCTGCACTAATCCCTTGACAGTCTGTATGGTCGTTCCACGAGGCACCTCAGTCATCAGTCAGGCTTCAGGGCAGGTGGAAAAGCAGCCAAACTGTGTGATCTCCATGGAAGGTGAAAAGCTGTTCTGTGTTGAACTGCAGTCTCATTTGGCCATCAGGTTTTTTTCCTTAATTAGCGAGGAAAAATATCACTATTGATAGTTCTTGGTGTTCTTTTCAATGGCTTGGGCACAGAGGAGAGAAGGGCAGGCCCAGGGCAGTGCCCGTCCCTGTGCTGGCACCGCTGAGGGACCGCGAGGGCTGGGCCCAGTGCTGGGCCCTCAACAGGAGAGACCCGGAGGGGCTGGAGCGTGTGCAGGGAAGGGAACGGAGCTGGGGAAGGGGCTGGAGCAGCAGGAGGGGCTGAGGGAGCTGGGGGGGCTCAGCCTGGAGAAAAGGAGGCTCAGGGGGGACCTTCTGGCTCTGCAACTCCCTGACAGGAGGGGGGAGCCGGGGGGGGTCGGGCTCTGCTGCCGGGGAACAAGGGACAGGAGGAGAGGGAACGGCCTCCAGCTGTGCCAGGGGAGGCTCAGGTTGGCCAGGAGGAGGAATTTCTCCGTGGAAAGGGTGGTGAGGCCTTGTCAGGGGCTGCCCAGGGAGGTTTGGAGTGCCCATCCCTGGAGGTGTCCCAGGAAGGCCTGGCCGTGGCACTCAGTGCTCTGGGCTGGGGGACAAGGTGGGCATCGGGCACAGGGGGGACTCGGTGACCCCCTTGGAGGGCTTTTCCAACCTCAGTGATTCTGAGATTCTGCTTGTGCAAAGAATTGCAAAGGCAGATTGTGAACTTACTGTGAGACTTAACGGACAAACCGTTGATGCGTCACATCAGATTTATGATTAAGAGGTTTCCTCCCTGGCATTTTAGGCCAAGGACAGAGACAGGATGTGAGGAACAAAATTACAGATATCTAAAGGGGGAAAGACCCATAATGTCAGATTCTTTGTAAATTAGGAGAATAATACTTTAAGGATGGCTATTTAAAGGCTTATTTGCAAACTGCTCTCTCTCAAAAAGAGAGTTTGAGTGCCTCATAAATATCTGAAGAAATTTCAGTCCATTTGTAAGAGGAAAAGAATCGCTGTATCAAACCAAACCAAACAGAAGTGCTCTGTGAAATCAAGCAGAGCTGTTACAGAGGGCAGCAGAGGAGAGTCCAGCGAGATGCAGAACTCAAAGCGGTGAGATCAGTTAAATAATGGTCCTTTACTAGAGACTGTGAAGCTCATCACCACAACAAGATTTTAAGTTGATGAAATACTTTTTTAAGTATGTAATTGGAATAATGTATTCTCAGGTCCATTGAAAAATAAAGCTGTTTGAGCTCTTTAGTCCTTGCAGAAGGCTGAGTTAGGAAGAAGTCAATCTTCTTGTGTTTTGTAGAAACCAGGGACGGGTTTTCATGTAAGACAATCTTTAGGTTTTTATTTTTTTAAACAGATTTCTAAGAGAGAAATAAACCCTCTGCATGTGTTGGGATTGTGTAGTTATCCTGGTTGCACAGAGAAGTTGTTGACACCCCATCCCTGGAAGTGTCCAAGGCCAGGTTGGACGGGGCTTTGAGCGACCTGGGCTAGTGGAAGGTGTCCCTGCCCATGGCAGGGGGTGGAATGTGATGGTCTTTAAGGTCCCTTCCAACCCAGACTGTTCTGTGATTCCATGAAAAGGTGTATTGCTGGGCAGCTGTGGTGGCTCTGTGTCCTTGTGACTCCTGCCGTGGTGCTCCTGTGAGGGACTGAAAACCTGAAAGAGTTTAATGACTCAAACATTCAGCAGAGGAGAAAAGGATCGTTCCCATGCCAAGGAGATAAGGGGCTGTTAGAAAAGAGGTTCTTTGGGGAGGCTTTGTGGGACCACCATCCAAATGACCAGGGATAGCACTGGAATCCTGGCTGGTGACCTGGATTTTTTTTCCCTCTACCTCTATTTTCCTGTCTTTCCTTCTGCCTTTCTTCTTCTCCTTAGAAGTTTAAATCCCTGTTGCCACGTGTCATTCAGAAAAGTTTAATTTGCTGGCTGTTCAGAAAGGTTTAAATTGTTGCCACCACAGGCCATTCAACCTGTCATAAAGTCGAAATCGTTGCTGCCATAAATAAAAGCTTCTAATTGAACTTTGGCGTTGCTTCACCTTAATTTAGCCCAAGGGTACTCCCAAACTCGGAGTAGGCAGTCCAGGAATGTCCTGTAGGGACCTGATATTTTGCAGCTCTCCCAGAGCAGGTGGCTCAGGACTACCCTGTGGGGACAGAACAGCTGCTCATGGACTTACTAGTCTTGAACACCAGAGAGAAGCAAATCTGTTGCTGCTTTTCCCCTCTCCTGTTTCCTAATTATCCCTTGCAGGATATTTTCCCACTGCTTTCACAACTCTCTCCTCTTCCCATTTATGTATCATTTACTTCCTTCAGTTGCCCCAGTTCTTCCATCCCTTAAGCTCCTCTTTTCCCAGTCTGGAAAAATTCAAAGCAGCTGAAGCCATTGGGGGGGGGGGTGGTGGTGGTTACCTTGGGGGTTTTTTTGGGGGGGAACCTCTTGTTCAGATGACAGATTTGGATTACTAACCCTTCTTTGCATCATCTTTGAGTCACAGTCATGAGGGAAATACAAAAGCTGGTGGATTTGATAGATTTTAGAGGAATTGTTGAGGAGACATCAACCCTCTGGATTGTCACAGGGTTTGTAACAAGATTTTTTTTCCTGGTGAAATCCTCTTTATGTTAAAACTCGTGGTGGTGTCCCAGAAGCTTCCAGGTCAAGCTCCTGGATCACTATAACTGTACAGATGTAATTGAACAAGAAATTGTGCCATAAAACACATGGGCAGACACAGCGGCTGAAAAGTTGTTGCTCCTTGAACTTGAAACTAATCTTTGGTGCAAAGTTACGGATATTTGGCAATTTTTCATCTCTGCTGTGTTAAAACAAAATAATTTTAAATAGCTGATTGAAAAAAACGTACTGGGGCGTTTTTCTCCCCAGGGCTGTAAACCAGTTTGCTGGGGTTAAGATCAGTGATTAATTTTACTGTTTTATCCAAAAAAAAAAGCATCAGCTCAACTTGGGACTATATATTTATGCAGAGTTGCTGTTTTGAAGTGAAGGTGTGAACAATCTTCATGCTGCACTTTGGAATAAATTATTTGGGCCCTTAATACAGGAGGTTACGTGATAAATATTTTAACCCAATTTAAATGTTATGCACCTCCTGACAGTCACAGATTTTCTTCCCAGTTGCTGGTGAACTTCCACAGAGATCATTCCTGGGAGTATTTCCGTGTGAAGCAGACTGGGTAGTGTTAATTTGTCAGAGAACTGAAATTTCAGAGAAGTGTTTATAAACACTGCGCCTGCCAACGCGAGGCACCGCGGGGCAGCGCTCGGGGTGGTTGGTCGTGCTTGACATTTGGGGATTGAGTTGGAGTGTTTTACACAGGGAAAGGATGTGCCTTGTGGGTGCTGGGAATGACCAGAGCTGACTGTGGAAAGCAAGGCTTTGAACCCCAGGGTGGGACACGATGGTCTCTGGTGAGGCCCCGCCTGGGTCACCGTGCACAGTTCTGGTGCCTCTGGAATAGGAAGGTCGTGGAACTGTTGGTGGAGTCCAGAGGAGGCCACACAGTTGCTGAGGGGACTGGAGCACCTCCCCTGTGGAGACAGGCTGGGAGAGCTGGGAATGTTCAGCCTGGAGAGGAGAAGGGTGTGTGGAGACCTCACAGCACCTTCCAGGGTCTGAGTGGGCTACAGGGAAGCAGGAGAGGGGCTGTTCATTGGGAACTGGATCAGCAGGACAAGGGGGAATGGCTTCACACTCACAGAGGGGAAATTTAGGTTGGATATTGGGAAGGAATCGTTCCCTGTGAAGGGAGGGAGACCCTGGCACAGGTTGCCCAGAGAAGCTGTGGCTGCCCCTGGATCCCTGGAATTGTCCAAGGCCAGGTTGGACGGGGCTTGGAGCAACCTGGGACAGTGGAAGATGCCCATGGCAGGGGATGGAACAACAGGATGATCTTTAAGGTCTCTTCCAACCCAAACCATGATTCTAGGAAAAAAAAACATGTTCTGGATGTTGACTGTCTGGCTGCTCCTCATTAAGTACTACCTTTGTCATGGTAAATGTAGTTTTCACATCCTTATTCTGCAAATTCATTTTCTGTTGCAGAGCAACTCAAGGTATAAACCCTTCTTTTTCCTGGAGAACTTTATGTAACTGTGCTTTTTTTTTTTCCCATCACCTTGATGTGTCACTCTTGCTGCAGCAAATTTATTCTGGGTTTGGTTGTTATTTCAGTGCTTTCATTTGTTTGAGGTGAGATTGGTTGCTCAGTGGAGGAAAAGCTCATCACGTTAAGTAGATCGCTGTATGTGATGGGTCTCATCCTCAATTTAAATTATTGTGCCTCGCAAGTGCTGCTTCTGGAATTGTCTGAAACAGCTGCAATGTCAGAGGCAGCTCTTTGCTACAGATAATGAGGTTTAAACCTCTTTAAACATCACTCAAAACATGAAATACCAGAAATCCGAGGTAAAAACCAGTATTTTGACTGTTGCTGTTGTTACAAAAATACATAAAAATGTAGGTTACCCCTCTAAACGTCTCCCTGGTGTGTTTATTGTCCTTGCAGGCACTATCCTGGTTGACAACATGCTGATCAAAGGGACAGCAGGAGGGCCTGACCCCACCATTGAGCTCTCCTTGAAGGACAACGTGGATTACTGGGTGATCCTGGATCCCATCAAACAGACCCTGTACCTGAACAGCACCGGCCGGGTCCTGGACAGGGATGTGAGTCTGGGGGGGCTCTTTGTTTGCTTTCCTCCCCATGGACATCAATTCCTAATTAACCATAACCACCAGACCGGCTGGAATATAATTCCTGCATCTATCTTGTCCCCAGATGGATGTGGACAGAGTTAATTGGATTCTTCATTAGGATTTATTGGGAGCACACAGAAACTTGGCCATGTGTGCAAATACTGTGTGTGGACAAACACAGCAGTAAAGACCAACCAAACAAAGGTGTGGGTTTTACATCCAGCCAAACTTGGCTCCTCTGCTGAATTAAATTTTTATTGTGCACTGAATTATGAGATGTGAGAAGAGCAAAGGATTTGTGACTACTACAAATCACTTACAAAGCTTGACATGTTCAATTGAGAACGTGCTGGTTTAGATTCTTTTTTTAGGGCAGCATAAAATTCATGTGGTACATTCGTTCCTAATGGCATTGAAAGAAATACTGTCAGGCTAAGTTTGACTTTTATAAAAAGAAAGCTGAAAAGCACAAAAGAAATGGGAGTTTTCTCATCTAGGCTAATTTCATTGAAGAACAACACTTTAAATATAGAGATATTTTCTCACAGTGTTGCAGCATTGCTGCAGTTCATCAGAACCTGAAAGGAAAATTGACTCCAAAGTGCTGTAATCAATATGGCAAGGATGCTTTAAAACTCAGGAGTTCTACTTGGAGTGCGGGGAAGTTTGTTTTGTATTAGCTTGATTGATTAATTTGTCTTCTCCATGTGTTTTGAGATCTATTCATAAGTACCAAAAACAACATGCAAATTTTCCCTCATTTCCATTTTGAGCTGAAAAAGAGCTAATTGAATTCAGCTGTTCTTAATTTAGTTTTAATTCACAAGCTGTTCTCAGATGCAGAGCACAGAGTGGCACAGTGGTCACGGTGGCAGAAGCCTTGTGGTGCCTCAGCAGAGCTGGCACTTGCTCGAGCACCAAACAGCAGCTGCTGGAACATGTTTGGCCTTTCAGTTTTCATTTGAAGTCAGAGCAAAAAAATGAGAGCCTGGAATGGGAGGTGAGGCTGAAGAACCACTGTAAGAAATGCAGGGTCCCTTCTTCCTCAGCCCACGGAATCCTGCACATCCATATGGGGTCAGGAACTGGCATTAATCCCCGTTAGGTCAATGCTAATTCTTTTTCAGTGCCCCTTTTAGTGACAGTTCTCTCCCTCTGGGGTTGTTCACCTGAGCTGCTTGACCTGAATCTTGCTTTACCAAAAGGACCTTGCCAGATTATTTGAGTTCCAGTATTAGCAACAATCTGAATCAACTCACAGATACTTCACATCCTATGAATTCACAACCACTTTACAGTGATGCTCCTTGCCAGAAGGAGACTCAAGTCCAGAGGACAATTGAAGTGTGTACCTATATAATTATATATAGATAATAATGTGTTTAAATTGGTATTTAAGGTATTAATTCCTCACTTTTTGCTGTGAACTTTTAACATCTTATCCCCGGTACTGTGTAAAATTACTCCTTTGTGGTTATTTAAGTTTAGTGGGCTATGAAAAGAGAATCTGGGATTTGAGGTCATTTAGGTTTTGGGTGTGAGCCCCACTGTAGATCTTCCATGGGCTCAGTGAATTGCTGGAACTCACAAGCCAAAGAAAATGAAAGCAGCCCTCAAAAACCCCAGTGACTGAGAAAAACTATGAAATGGGCTTGATTAATATGGCTCTTTTGGGGCCAGGGGGAAGTGGTGGGTTGGCAGTGCTGGGTTAACTGTTGGACTTGGTGCTCTTGGGGATCCTTTCCAACCTTAATGATTCTAAGATGCTGTTTCCAGCCTTCAGAACCAGCTCTGTGCTCACCCCCAAAATGCAGAATCATTCAGACTGTAGGTGGTTCCTTCTTTCGTTAACAAAAACCCCCAAATGTGTTTTTCTCATCTTTCAAGTTAAAACCAGGTGAAACTTTGTGGTACCAATGGAATTGGGGGGGTTTATTAAGTCAAACCTTCGGATTCAGTTTTTATTACAGAGGAAAGATATATTCTCTGATTCACAAATGGTGCATGTACAAGCACATTCAATATATTTGGATACTCTTCCCATTTTTCTCTCTCTGCTGATTCAGTTATCCTGTTCCTGTTCCTGTGTTTTATTACCTTTCTTGAAAGCAAATCTTATTAGATTCCATTGATTGATTTTACTAAGAATGGCAGTGTGTTTTCCAAATAAAATCAGATAAAAAGAAAATTCACGACTTTACTTCCAAGTACTTAGGAAGGGTGAATAGTGATAGTTCAGAGCTGAAGGTGCCAGGAGCTGCTAAGAGGTGCTGGAATGATCTGTCCCCAGTGTCATAAACAATTTGTGCCATTGTACCATTATGTATTTTTTTTTGCCTATAAATGCCCAGACTGATGAGAGTTTGTTTAAACACCTGATTTTAGATCTAAGCACTGACCCAGCAGAGATTGTACATCTGTGGAAGGAATGCTGGTCCTGTTTCTCTCATATTTCATCAAAAGCAACAAACTATTTTTTCCATGTTCTTGTAACAAAGACCAAATCCAGAATATCAAATGGTTATCAAATATCTATTTTTTTAACTCATTGTATTTTTCTTGGGCATGGCTAATAAATCTAGATCTACTCAGTAGTGCTTAAGCTTATTAAAGGCAGCCTAAAAATTCTTGGATCTTACTCAGATGAGTAGTAATAGACATTCCAGCCTAAATTTCTATGCCCATTCATCAAGTTTGGGAGTTATTTGTATTTGAATATTATGATGTTCACTGGAATGAAAACATCAGGAGTCTGGGTTGTCTACACTGAAGGTTGTTTCTGAAGTATTTGTAAATGTAAATGGGAGAAAATTGGATTTATTTCTGGGTTGACCTTTCAATTGGAGATAAGAAAGAAACAAGAAAGTCATTGGAGTGAGTCTGGAGGAGGCCACGGAGACGCTCTGAGGGCTGGAGCCCCTCTGCTCTGGAGCCAGGCTGGGAGAGCTGGGGGGATTCACCTGGAGAAGAGAAGGCTCCAGGGAGACCTGAGGGCCCCTCCCAGGGCCTAAAGGGTCTGCAGGAGAGCTGGAGAGGGACTGGGGACAAAGGATGGAGGGATAGGACAAGGGGGAATGGCTTCCCACTGCCAGAGGGCAGGGTTAGATGGGATATTGGGAAGGAGTTCCCTGTGAGGGTGGGGAGGCCCTGGAACAGTTGTCCGGAGAAGCTGTGGCTGCTCCTGGATCCCTGGAAGTGTCCAAGGCCAGGTTGGACGGGGCTTGGAGCAACCTGGGCTAGTGGAAGGTGTCCCTGCCCATGGCAGGGGGTGGCACTGGATGCTGTTTCTGGCCTTGCATTCCCGTGCAATGCAAACCATTCCAGGATTCTCTGAATTCCACCATTCATAAACCAAGGTTTCCCACCCGCGGCATCTCCTCGGGATCTTTATAAAGGTGCATTTTCCCTTTCAGCCCCCGGTGTCCATCCAGTCCATCGTGGTGCAGGTGCAGTGTGTGAACAAGAAGGTTGGCACCATCATCAACCACGAGGTGCGGATCGTGGTGAGGGACCGCAACGACAACTCCCCTCAGTTCCAGCAGCAGCGCTACTACGTGGCCGTGAACGAGGTCAGAACCCCCCAGTCATCTTCCCTGTCAGTGCTAAACCCCGGCTTCCATTTGAAAACCCTCCCATTTGAAAACCCCATAAATTCAGTCGTTTTCAAGTCCCTTGGATTTGTGTCCCTTTAGAATCCGAAGCTGGGCCTCCACGAGTGAAGCGATTTCTGGGACATTAATGCAATTTTAGCTGCCAAGGTGGAAGTAAAACAAACAGGAAGTAAAACAGAAAGTATTTATTTTAGGAAATCCCACAAAAAACCCAAAGTAAATAGTTCAGAAGGATTTGTTAACAATATTGAAACTTGGCAAAGTGCAGGTTTGGTTTATTGCTGCTTCTCTTTATTAAATGATGTCTGTTGGAAGGAATTATTTTGCTTTATATCTTTATGGAGCAGAGAGCTGTGGATTGGACTTCTCTGTGTTATTTGAAGGCAAAAAAAACCCTGTTTCTATCTTAGACTGGTACAGCTTCATTTCACTTTACAGTTAAGTGTCTTATTCTCTTAGGGCTGGAATAATCTGCTAATAAGCAGTACAAAGGATCTCTGTTTTCGGTGTTGGTATCTCGGGGCTTTAGTACTAAGAAGCAGAAGTGGAGACTTACATGCAGCAGTGGAAATATCCAGGCTGAAATTATGTGGAGAATGGAAGGTCTTGTGCAGGTGAAGACTGAAAGAAGTAGAGTTGCTTTTTAAAAAAAATGAAGCTGTTAACTGTCTGTGTGCATTGTGTCCCCGTTGGGGTTTGGTTTGGGAGGCAGGACTGACTGCTTTCATGTTGTTTGGTTTGAATATAGTTGATTTACTGTTTCAAAAAGAAATCTCCTAGTTTTTTGTGTTTGGGAGATTCAGGTTTTTGAGGTGTCTGTGTGTTGTTCCAATCCCCAAGTGTGCAGCGATGTGCAGGACATCCCATTGCCCCCAGGAAAGGAGTGGGAGAGTTGGTTGATGGGTTTAACCCAAAAGTGTGCAGAAAAATAATCCCAAATCCACACATTATATTGAAATAGAGATTTGAGATAAGGATGTGCAGGCATCTCAAACTTCCTGGTCTCCTGAGAGGTGACACCTTTTAAAGTGAGACTGTTTCCCCTCAGACAGAGTTTTGGCCATCCTGGCTGGTGTGACTTACACTGGAATGTGGAGGTCCCAAAATACCACTGTGGGCACACCAGGAAAGTCCTCCTGATGCTTGTACGTGGTTTTCAAATTGGCCTTTATATGGCCATGGAATTTCTCTGTTTTACCCGTTTCTGGAATGTTTCTGGTCTGGAGTAAAGGCAACATGAACACGAGTCTGAAGTGCCTGTGTGGGCTGTGATCTAGGGCCAAGATCACTTCCAAAACCTGCATAATTTTGTGAGCAGAGCTGAAGGCTGGCAGTGTGTCAGTGCTGTCATACTGAGGAAACAAGGATTTTCCTTAATTAGATTGAAGTCCGAAAGGCTGAGTGAGAAATGCCCCACTCACAATTGTTTCTGTTATTGAGCAATGTTCCCTGCAAGCATTTATTTGCATTATTACTGGGCAAAATGTTGCTCTTTCCACCAGCTGAATCCTGATTTAATTAATATCTTAGGTTCATTTTATCCCTGTTCCACCTAGAACATCTGACATGGCACCACTGTGCCCTTGAGCAGCACTCAGGGGGTTAATGCTCCCATTAATTAATTAACAGCAAAAAAATACACAGAGCATCTCAGACTTCCTCAAAGGTTTTAATGAGTGATTAATTTGTTTTAATGCTGCTTTATTCTGCTCCTAATTGGCACCACCTCTAGTGAATTTAGGAACAGGAATGCACTGGTATAAGGGATTTAGTGGTTGTTTTTTGCTTCTGTTTTTCGGTTGTTTGTAAACCAAAAAGTGCAGAAATGCCTCTTTCCTAAGTAACATAAATCAAAGGACAAGTAGATTTTATTACATTTTGGAGAAATAGAATGGTTTTTATGTCAAGTCATCTTTATATTTGAACTGTCCACACCACAGTAAGATGAGTTTGTCACAGAAGCAGAGGGTACTGGTAATAGCAACATAAATCCTGGTTTCACACGTATCTTTTCCCTTTGCACAGAAAAAGACATGGTTTAAAAGCAAACCTGGATTTTTCCAGAAGGCTTAGAATCAGATGGATGGGGAAGGGTGGTGTCTGTTCCTGTTTTATACCAAAAGGTGTTTCAGTTTTTATATTTGATTGGAATAACCCAGCACAGAGTTAGACAAAAAGCTTTCCTAAGCCCATGCATTTCCTTGGTCAGTGGCCCTTACAGATGCTCAAGGAAGAGCATAAGGATTAGGAAAAATGAAGTGGTGCTTTCCTAATGAGTTCCCCAGATTCCAGTCCCTGGTACCTGTAAAATCCATCAAACCAAAGGCAGTGTATGCAACAACTTCCTCTTGCCCAGTTGCTTGTGAACATGTTGGTCCCTCCTTTCCTTCCTTGCTCCAGGTGCTCTGGAGCCTTTTTTCGGCATGTTTTGTCTCATACCGTAATTCCTCACTCTGCTGCTTCAATTATCTTCACCTGGCTCCTAAAAATCCTGAGAAATCTCAAGACTTGAATAGTGTCTGTGGAATATTCTGGGTGTTGTCCAACGTCCTGTAGGGACTTCAGTGTTTTCTTCTGTCATCGCCACACTCGGACCTGTAGGAGACCCCCAAGGAAAGGGGATCCAAAATTAAATGGTGCAGAGAAGTTCATGTTCCCCTCCAGCAGATGTCTGGGTTGAAACTGTGGCTTTTACATCCAATTATGAGAATATCTTTACATGTTTATTGAGGAAATACTTTTTTTCCGGAGGATTTTAATCGTTCCATTAAAAGTCTTCTTCAAGCCAAAGAATGAGTCTCAGCCGACTCCAGCTGCTCTCCACAGCATTTTGAATCTCCTCATGAAAGTAAAAACAACTTAAGGTTGATGTCCCCATTCTTATGATAATTAGAAATACTCTGCAGAGTTATTTCCTCGGCTCTTTGCTTTACATATTTTTATTTATATGAAAGTATCACATCATTATTCATTTAGGGAAAAAAATCCTGACAGTGACATCAGCCTGAGGCTAAATCTGACTGGATGTATTAGTGACTTGAAGATAGGAGTTATTGCAGTATTAAAACAAAGTTCTGGAGCTGGGGTGGAATTCAGAAGAATTATGCAACTAATTAAAATTCCACAGGCAAATCTATAGCATTGCTGCAAGGGTTTTAAATTTATGTATCCTAGTGTGGGGATTAGGAAGTAAAATCTTGTACTGCTGAGGCACCATTGTGGTTGTCTGTGTTTTGTGTTAAATACAACTTATCTTGATAGTTTTTATCTGAGCTGAATGCAGCTCCATTTCAGCATTGCCTGGGTTTCCTAAAACTGACTTTTTTGGTCTTAGTTTTTCCACTTACCTGAGTCCTACAGAGGTGTTGGGAAACCCAGGAGCTTTTAATACTGGAAATGGTAGTGGAGTGACTAGAACACTGTTGAAATCAGTATCATGTTATTAAACGTGCATGACTGTAGAGCTGCTTGGAACCCAAAACTGTAGGGTTGGTTCGTTTATTGATTTTGGGGTTCTTCTCCTCCCCCACCCTTAAGTTGGGAGAGATGGGAATCCTTTGCAAAATGAGCGTGTTTCTTGAACTTCAGTAATTTCCAAACTTTGGCTTTGGGCTGTTGAGAATTATAACTTGTGCTGAATTTTCATTTCTTGTTGTGTAATTATTGCTGTCTTTTTCCTTGTGGTATGGAAATAATTAATCTCTGCAGGTAGACATCATCAAAAGAATGTTAGCTCAGAATGATTAACTGGAAATCTTGCTTTGCTCTGCTCTTTGGGGCCCCTGTGAAAAATTATTCATTTTTAACTTTGTAAATAGCCAATAATGGGAGAATTCATTTTCCAAATGTTTTATGGAAGAGCTGAGCATTCCTGCCCGCATCTAGACTTCTAATAGACATCACATTGAGGGAAGTTTTTAAGCATTACAGCTGCAGACTGTGGACGAAGAAGATGTATGGTGTGCATTTCCTCTCTGTTTGTTTAATTGCATTCTTTTTGAAATCTTCCTTGTTTCTTGTCACCGTGGTTCTTTTTCACTGGGTTGAACTCCCACAGAGATGATTCTCCTCAGGCTGTCATGTACACTCAGATAATTGTTTCTTTACAATTCCTAATGGTTTATCTTGCAGAAGGTAAGACACTCAGCGTGGTCAAACACTTTGCTACATAACTCCAGTGCCTTTCTGTAGGAGACACTAAAGGTTCATAGGGAGAAACAAAATTCCACTCTTTAAGTAAAGAAATCTTTCCTGATATCCCACCTGAGCCTCCTCTGGCTAAATAGTCACATTTTATTAGGTGAACTGAGTTCCCCCTTGTTGTTCCAACAATAAACTGACAGAAATCCCTCACAAATTTTGGGGTAAAAGTGTTATGGTAAATGCAATAGTAAGAAGTGATATTGCTGGCTAAGGGTAAATCATTGTAATGCTGAGATCTCAGTGCAAAAATATTGTGTGGCTTTGAATGCTGAGGGGCCTCTCTCAAATGATTGGAAGTGGGTTTTGAAGCATCTAGTTAAGAGCTCATCTGAATTTTTCTAAAAGCTGAAGGAGTCTCTAATGTGAGATCTTGAGCAGGCTGGAAAGAGGAGTGGAATGAGGGAGTGGTGGGGATTTTTGTCTCTGTTATTTCTAGTATCACTTGTGTTGCATAAAGAAAATGTACATTAAGTGAAAAGCTGCGTGTCCTGAAGGTCTGCACATCTGTAGTCAGTTATTTTGGATGCAATACATTAAATCCAGGACTTTAGCTTTTGACTTTTACTGTTGGAGCATGCAATTGTAATTCTGGTGTTTACTGATAGTTCATTTTTACAACTGTCTCCTTTGTTATCACTTAATAATGTGCTTTACAGTGCTGGAGCCTTTTTATGTTGGCCATCCTTTATCTGCACCCTGTCAGAGCCCTGATACAGCTGCTCTGAGGGAGACAGCAAATAACTCTTGCTTTTCCAAGCCTTTCTGTGCTTCTGGAGAGCACCACAGCTCCTGGCCCTTCAGCTGGGAGCACTTGGGCAGGCCCAGCCCTTCCTCAACCTCTTGGCAGCTGGGAGGTTCCCGCTTGGAATGGTCTGATCCTTTGGAATGCTGGCTGGAGCTGTGCCCCCTCCCTTTACAGGGCATGGTGTCACAGTGTCTGGCTGGTGGGAGCAGCACAAACCCCCTGGGGGTTTCGATCAGCTCCTGGGCTGGTTGGATGGGGCAGGATTTTTAAAATATTTTAATATTTACTGTATTTTAGTGTCATATTGTTTAGAAAAATATGAGACCCCACCAGGAGTATGGTGTCCATCTCTGGGGTACTCAGCACAGGAAGGATGTGGAGCTGCTGGAGTGAGTCCAGGAGGCCATGGAGATGCTCCAAGGGCTGGAGCCCCTCTACTCTGGAGCCAGGCTGGGAGAGCTGGGGGGGTTCACCTGGAGAAGAGAAGGATCCAGGGAAACCTGAGAGCCCCTTCCAGGGCCTAAAGGGGCTCCAGGAGAGCTGGAGAGGGATTTTGGAGAAGGGCCTGGAGGGACAGGACAAGAGAGAATGGCTTCCCACTGCCAGAGGGCAGGGTTAGATGGGATATTGGGAAGAAATTCTTCCCTGTGAGGGTGGGGAGGCCCTGACCCAGGTTGCCCAGAGAAGCTGTGGCTGCTCCTGGATCCCTGGAAGTGTCCAAGGCCAGGTTGGACGGGACTTGGAGCAACCTGGGCTGGTGGAAGGTGTCCCTGCCCATGGCAGAGGATGGAACAAGATGAGCTTTACATCCCTTCTAGCCCAAACCATTCTGTAATTCCACATGTCTAATGTCTACAGAGCTGTTCCTCTCAGCTCCACCCAGGAGCACCAAGGCTTTTCCATGTTTGGACACCAGAACCGTGGGAGATTCCCATCATATGCCACCCCCTGAGGAGCCAACAGTGCCTGGCTCCTTCCCCTAATGAGACTGTTAATTACCCAGAGATGAACGGGTTAAGCCCTTTTCTTTGGAACTGTTCAGGGTGTCAGTGCCTGGGGGCTGAGGGGTCTCTCTGAGGATGGTGGGACTGCCCTGGGCGATCCATGGGCAAGCCCAGAGCCTGGCCCAGCCCTCAGGAAAAGGGTGTTGAGAGGGGAAAATGCTGTGTGGCAGCAAGGAGAGAGGAGCTGGGAGTTCAGGAGTGATGCTGAACCTGCGCAGAGGGGTGGGATAGAGGGGAAGGTGCTGTTCTGTCTTCCCTTGTCCCCATCCCAGTGTGTTTTTAATTGTTGGTACATCAACTTAATGTCTCCCAAGGCTCATCTCTCCTGCCTGTGTGGGCCATGGCTCCATGCTCTCCCTGTCTCTGCCCTCAAGCACATTGGATTTTCTTCCCCTGAGCTGCTGAATTTTTCCTAATATCCAACATGAACCATCCTTGGCTGAACAGTCACATTTTTTTAGGTGACCTGAGTTCCTCCTTGTTGTTCCAATAATAAACTACCAGCAGCCTGTCAGAAATCCCTCACAAATTTTGAGGGGTCAAATTGTCATGGCTGGCAAGTGGCCAATGCAACAGGAAGAAGTGATGTTGCTGGCTAATGGGAAAACATTGTAATGCTGAGATCTCAGTGTAAAAATATTGTGTGGCTTTGAATGCTGAGGGGCCTCTCCCAAATGATTGGAAGTGGGTTTTGAAGCATGAAATGAGTTTTGAAGCGTGGATGCTGAAAAAGGGGTGAGAGGGGGCCTGGGTGGGGATAAAAAACCCTGCAAACCATCCTGGAAATTTTCCAAGCTGGTTTTTGGGTTTGCTTTGGTTTTCTATCCCCTTCCAAAAACATGAGAAAGCCCCTTCCCTCCTGCACATCCTAATCCTAACCCTTTAGTAGGTATGAGGGTACAATCAACTTCCTACACCCACATATGACACTTCTACTGCCCGTCCCAGGAGCAAGTAAGTCAAGGTTGCAGCAAAACATAAACATAAATAGTTATTGTGGCCTAAGTGTGGATAGTGTAAGTATTGTAAATTAAACCCTACCTGTTTCACAACAAAAAGGCTTTGAATTGATGTTTTTTATTTCAAAGATTTAGTATTCTCAGCCCTGAAAACGTTTCTCAGGGAAATCTGTCAACCATTGCACACCTAATTAGCAGCTTTATAAATAAAACAGGAACTATGACTGTAAGAGGAAGTGGAGAGTTAATTATTTGCTTTGTGGTGTGAACTACAAAACATGAATGTGAAATAACATCCAGATCTGCGGCAAACATTTGACTGACTGTCCTTTGCCACCTTCCCTTTTCACGGCATTTCAATCCTTTTTAGTCAGTCTGGGTTTAAATATGAGCAAAAACTTCATATAAAATTAGGAAAAAAGAAGAGGAGCCAGTGGGACTCTGAATTTCAGGTCCACAAATTTGGGGGTGATGAGAGCAGTGGGAAGCAAGGGCTGTGTTGGATCCAGAACTGTTTGTTCATTTGTTTTTCTCTTTCAGGTTGATTACTCACAAAGTTTCCTGAATATTAAAATTCAGAAACGATGACTCCAAAGAAATCTTCTGTCCTTGGTCTCAATGGGTCTTGATTTCATGCTATTTATCTGTGCGAGGATAATTATAAATTGATTCTTTTTCAGAATATAATTTAATGGGTATTCAGTTGCTGCCAACACAATATTGGAGTAACAGCATCATTCTTGTGTTTAAAGCCATAAAGCTCTCTGGGTGTCTGTGTTTGCATGTAACAATATTAAGCTGGCACTGTTCATGTTGCCATGAAGACACTGTCAAATAAGTTCTGTTTACATTTGCAGCTCAGCTTTGTTTTCCTTCCTGAGTCTGAAAAAACAGCTTTTACTGGTTTTAATCTATATTTATTTCATGAGTTCTTTCAGTTTTAAGATTTTTTTTTCCTCATTGTCTTTTTCTTTTTTTTTTTCCCTAATAAAACGAGGCTCTGTCTTGGTGCGTTATAGCCCAGAGCTAGGGGGGTGAATAAAATAATAATAAAAAAGACTTCAAAGAGTTGTTTAATCGTTTGTTGTATACCTTAAGGTTCTAATGGGTGTCTGTGTGTCACTGTTGTTGCAGTTAACTCCAGTTGGAACCACCATCTTCACAGGATTTTCTGGAAACAATGGTGCTACTGACATTGATGATGGTCCCAATGGCCAGATAGAATATGTCATCCAGTACAATCCTAATGACAAGGTAAATCCATTGAGGGCTTTTTTCTCCAGCTGTGTGTATATTTATTTTTATATATATATATATATGAAGAAGCTGTGACTGCCCCATCCCTGGAAGTGTCCAAGGCCAGGTTGGACAGGGCTTGGAGCAGCCTGGGCCAGTGGAAGGTGTCCCTGCCCATGGCAGGAGGTGGAACTGGGTGTTCTTACAGGTCCATTCCAACCCAAACCATTCTGGGATTCTGTGATTAATAACCCCCTGCCTGCTCCAGTGTTGTTCACACACTTCACCTTGGCTTTGGAGGCATTTTCAGGTAGCTGGATTCACTCCTCCACATCTACACCTGATAGATTCACAGCTAAGGTGTTCATAGGCATGGCTAAATTACTCTCAAAAGAGACCTTCTGACTTTCCTCACAAAGTCATTTATATTTAAAGATCACTGTTGTGGTTTTTTAAAAAGGGTTATATATTATTAAAATGAAACTCTAGTGATCCTTACCATTGCAAACACATGATTTTAGAGCAAACAGTTTAAAGGTACTAAAATAAATTCTCTTTAGGGTTAGATGGGGGAATTTCTCCATTAGAACAAGGTCTTGAACGTGAGTGATTTCTGTGAAGTGTCCAAATGCATCTTTGGAGCAAATTGGAAGTAATTTTAGCAATGCTCCTTTGCAAACCCCGGGCTGTGAGCTCAGTTGTGGTGGATCAGCTGGTGGGGGAGTTTGTTCAGCAGCCTAACCTGGTTTTTTAGCCAGGGCACAGATGTTGAAGTGTGTATGTGGGGGTGAAATAGAGTGCATAGATTTGGTAACCTCTCACTGAAATTCCCTGCTTTTCCTGAGGGGGAATTGGAGCAGAAAAGGTTTTGTGGGAAAACAGCAACCTGGTTTCCAGTTGGGTTAGAAACGCAGGCACACAGCTTGGGATTCAGCTGGCACCATCAAAGCTGTGCACCCAGAAAGGCTTCAGTCCTGTTCCCACTGAATTCAACACAAATTGAAATATCTACAATTGCAGTTGTTGCCTATACTTTGTGGGAGGTAGAAGTGTGTGGAACAGTGACAGTATCAGGGAATAATTCACTGAGAACTAATGATGGGAGACCCTTCTTTTTTACTTTTCGCTGGGGTGGTTGTTGATCTTTGCATACTGACATGCTGAGGTGCAATATTTACTTATTATATCTGCATGTTTGGAGGACAAAGGTGGTTCCTTGGAAAGCTTTGCAGCATCTTAAGCCATAATCTTGTCTGGGAAAAACTGGGAAAGAGGCAGTGTCTTTTGTCCAAAGGTAGAATTGGGATGTTAGGTTTTTGGGAGATGGGGAATTTTCTGGTTTTATATGTTGTGTATATTTGGAATTCTTTTGGGGTTTAAAAGTTTGCAGTCATTTTCAGAGACTCAATTGACTTCACAGACTTGAGCAGTCTCTCAAGTTCTGACACTTCCTGCAGTGAGACAGCCTGGTCTAGTTGGTGACCCTGCCCACGGCAGGAGGGTTGGACTAGATGGCCTTTAAGGTCCCTTCCAACCCAAACTATTTTATGATTCTACTTAAAAGAGTAAAATTTGTAGTACATGTCACCCTGTAAGCTGTTCTTTGTACTGGTGTTATGTATGACTGAAGTATTTATTCCCTAAGCTTTTATAAAGAAAGGGAAGGGTTTTCTGTGGAAATAGTGAGCACTAAAATGTTCTGTCAACATCATCTTTTAACTGTTTGCATGACAGAAGTGTTGACGTGACTAAAAAACCAATCCATAAATGCTGTTCCACTACCACAAATATTTGAAAAGTAAATAGAAGACAGGGAGGATTGAAAGGAATGCACAAGTAGTTTCAAATTTGCAAAGAAAATCCCCAAACAAGCTTTGAGTTCTTCTCCACTCTTCTGTATTACCCTTAACTTACAATACCAAAGAAAACCAGCTCAAATAATCTCTTTTAGTAAAGACTGTGATGAAGATGTTTGCACTGAGAAAATACTTCTTCCATGAAATGCCTCTTCCAGATAACTTTGAAAATGGAAAGTGTTTTAAAATAGTGAAACATTTTAGCATGCCTTGACTATGTTTGTGTACTAAAAACAATTAAAACTATTTTTAAAACGTATTTCTATTAAGATGTATTGAGCCACAGTGAAGTAGAAGAACTGCTTTCTATTTAAGTTACTATTAAGTCCTAGCACTGCATTGAACAAAGGCATCCTGGGAAATCATTCTGAAAGCATCTCCTTGAAATAAAGATGCTTTATTGCATCTTTGCTGTACTATTTTGTATCCCAGATTAAATAAATCTGCTGCTTTCATCTGTTGATATGTGCACAACATTGCATTTGGAGCGCGTGCAAGGCAGACATGACTTATCATCGTGCTGAGCTGCTTCATCTCTGCTGTCAACTTGCCAGAAAGTTCCTGTGTAATACATGCTGAAAGTGGATTTTTCTTCCTTAAACTGGGAAAAACCAGGCTCCAGAATGCAGCTTAGTGCAAAACATCTCTACTTGCTGCTGCTTGTTGTGGGATGAAGTTGCCCACGGTGTTGTTTGACACCAGTGAGACCATTCCCTGCCTTAGAAAAGCAGGCTGATTGTAGCTCATAAACATGGACTTGTTAGGGGAGGAAAAGGCCTTTAAGATCATCAGGTCCATTGGACTCAGTGATCCCTGTGGGTCTCTTCCAACTTAAAATATTCTGTGAAATTCTGTGGACCATCAACCCAGCACCACCAGCATAACTTTCATTGGAGACTAATGCAGGCATTTGGAAAAGAAAGCCCAACCTATAAAAACAAGAGGTGTTATTCTAGAAATTCAATTTAGCTTTATTATTTTTTGTGTTTAATTGGGAAGATATAGAAAAGCCAGGGAGAAAAATCAATGCCAGATGTACTTGCTGTAGGGCTGGGCTCTAGCTGTCATGTAAAGGAATGCCATAAAACTTCTCCTGGCTGTTACAAGCTAAGGATTAAGTCACTTCACTTGCCAAAAACATTCTGTCTCCTGATGCAAAGTGAGGGCTCTATTTATACCTGAGGGTTATTATTACAAATGTATCCTGAAAACTAGTTCTGGACTCCCTCCCTGCTTGCTGATTTTATGGAGATCTGTTGTATTGTGTTTGCTGAGGATTCTAAATGTTTTGAGATAATCTGGAATTAGGGAATGTGCATAATGCTGTTGCATTACTCTCTGGGGGGTAATTTGATTTGTGTTTTCCTGGTGGCTTAACCCATTTTATAATTTGCTGGCCCGTGGTCAAAACTATGGGCCAACAAGGGTTTTAAGTTATGGAGACTCTTGTGCGGAAGCATTTTGTTGTCTCTGTTTTGAAATGAGAGGAGAACCGGGTTTATTCTCTTGGAGAGAGCAGTTGACAAAGCAATGTCTTGATATTCCTGACTTCCAGACTGCTCATTTCCATATTAGAGGGAAATCCAACTGAATTGTTTCAGTTGGAAAAGATTTCCAAGATCACCCAAGTTCAGCATTCCCTCAGCACTGCCAAGGTCACCACTAATCCATGTCCCCAAGTGCCACATCCACACATCCTGTGAGGCCCTCCAGGGCTGGGGACTCCAAACCTCCCTGGGCAGCCCCTGCCAAGGCCTGACCACCCTTTCCAGCAACAAATTCCTCCTCCTGCCCAACCTGAGCCTCCCCTGGCACAGCTGGAGGCCGTTCCCTCTCCTCCTGTCCCTTGTTCCCTGGCAGCAGAGCCCGACCCCCCCCGGCTCCCCCCTCCTGTCAGGGACTTGCAGAGCCAGAAGGTCCCCCCTGAGCCTCCTTTTCTCCAGGCTGAGCCCCCCCAGCTCCCTCAGCCGCTCCTGCTGCTCCAGCCCCTTCCCCAGCTCCGTTCCCTTCCCTGCACACAGTCCAGCTTTTAGTTTTCTTGGAGCTTCATTACAGTTTGGGTTGAAGAAGAAATAAATGGTGTTTGCAGAGGGATCGGGGTTGAGCTGATGTGGTACCTTCAAACTTACAGCTGGAAGCTCAGCTTTGAATCACCCCTGAACGATTGCATTTCAGTGCTGAGTTTGGAGTAAAAGGAGACTCCAGGTACAGGCAGTTTGGGAAGAGGTCAAATGTTGCATAAGAATAAGAATCAGGCTGCCCTGGAAGTGTCCAAGGCCAGGTTGGACAGGGCTTGGAGCAACCTGGGCTAGTGGAAGGTGTCTCTGCCCATGGCAGGGGGTGGAACAAGGTGAGCTTTCAGATCCTTCCAACCCAAACCATTCCATGATTCTATGGTTCCTACTTTACCTCAGTATAAATGACATCATTGATTTCTTTCCCCTCAGTAGGAACTGTGTATGTTTTATCCCACAAGATGAGTCCCAAACTCGGATATAAACAAGCAGTTATTTAGCAGAGTCTGGGAGGTACTTCCCAATCCTGTTTTCCTGCACACCACAGACACCTGCAGCATGGTGAATTTAACCAGCAGTCCCATTTATCTGCTGAAAAACAAGCTGCAATTTTAGCAATTGTTTGGACTCTGAAAGGCCCTGTTTGTGTGATCTAAGGAAAGACTGGTACCGTGTCCCTCTGCCTGCTTTCTGTGCAGAGAACTGGGAATATTGCATTGCTACTGCCTGTTCAACATACCTAAATGTTGCCTGTGTTCTAATGTTAAATGGGCACACAGAAGGATTTTTTTGATGTGATTAATTTGATAGAATTGGAACTGGATCTCAGGTCAGAAACCTGTGTATCCTGCAGTGCCCTGCTGCTACTGGTGCCCCAACTTTGTAACCTGAGTCTGTGTAAGCAAATCCACAGGACAAATTGGATTTCACCTGGTTTGGCACCCTGATCTACCCTGAAATCTGAATTTACTGGTGTATGAACATATGCATGAACTGGCGTCTGAGTGTGTGCCTGGTGCTCTCTGTGTGTTTCCCACTTCATTGCCCTCATGAAAGCCAGAATAAAGAGCAGATTAGTACAATAATGTGGATTTCTCAATCTCCAATACTTGATAATTTCTTCCGAACACACCACTGCAAATTCAGGCTGGTAAATGGGAAAGAAGCAGAATAGTCAGACTTCAGTTTGTGGTTGGAAGTAGCAATGGATATGTAAAGAATCCAAGAGAATTCTGTTATGTACAGATAATTTCTTGTGGGGTTCTTATGGAATAAATTGGTGGGGAGAAAACTTAGAAAACTTTGAAATCTCTGATCTGAAGAGCAGATGCAGTCTTGGAATGGCAGCCAATGGATCATCCCATTGCAGCCCATCTAAAACCCATTTCAAGTGTGAAGCATGTTCAGCTTTATCAGATTGTTTTCTCTTTTGCAGGCTTCCAACAGGACCTTTGATATTCCTCTCACTTTGTCCGGAGCAGTAGTTCTACGGGAAAGACTAAATTATGAAGAAAAGACTCGTTATTTTGTCATTGTTCAAGCAAATGTGAGTATAAATCTCTTAAAGGCCGTTTCTGCCACTGATTTAGGTGGGTTTTTAGTTTCCTTTCCAAGCAAAGGCAAAGCCTTGCTGAAATATCAGGTCTGATAAATCCTCTTCTCCTGAAGATCTAATTTAAGATTTATCTGGGCTGCTGAAAGCTCAGACATATTATTACTGGTTAAAAAAGCCTGCTCAGTGTGTGTGACAAGCCAACCTTTTTGGCACAAGGAGCAAGTTGCAAATTTGCAGTGCAGCCCATGCAGAAAAGTGCAGTCTGGTGGCACTAAGTGTTCATTTTCTAACAAATCTGGCAATGCTAATTTGAGCTTAAAGGAGTATAATGGATACAATTTCCTTGTATCCTTCAGGTTTGAAATGCATTTTGCTCTAAAGAGGTGATTTTTCCTTCAAGTCATATCACAAGTGTGCAGAGAGGTTTTTCCAGAGTGGCTGGCAGTGGATAATACGCGGAGAAGGAAAGTGATGTTTAAACTATATCTCAGATATCTGTCATCAGAGAAGTTTTTTGGTGCCCTTGAGGGCTGTGGAAGCTTTTTTCCCTTGTTGTCCTTCTGATAACGGCTGTAAATGAAAACTTCTCCTTTGTTGTTTACCCTGTTGTGATACGACCTCGTTCGAGGGAAATGAGGCAGCTGGAGATATCTCACTCCCGAATCCTCACGTTTGGGGTTCTGTCATCTCCCCGACACAGAAGCACAGATACATTTCACAGTCTGTTTTCTTACATATTTTGTGGCATGTTCAGCATTCTGCCAACAGAAGACATGCTGTGGGGCTGGCTCAGTGCTTCCTGAGCTTCTGCCCTGCTCAGGAGAGACCCCCCTGCAGAGCTGCTCCAGCCCTGGGAACAGCCCAGCAAGGACATGGAGCTGCTGGAGCCAGTCCAGAGGAGGCCCCAAGAGGATCCGAGGGCTGGAGCAGCTCTGCTGGGAGGAAAGGCTGGGAGAGTTGGGGTTGTTCAACCTGGAGAGGAGAAGATTTGGGGTGACCCAAATGTGACCTTCCAGGGCCTGAAGGGGCCGACAGGAAAGATGGAGGGAGACTATTGACAAGGACCTGGAGTGTCAGGACAATGGGGAATGGCTTCCCACTGCCAGAGGGCAGGGTTAGATGGGATATTAGGAAGGAATTCCTCCCTGTGAGGGTGGGGAGGCCCTGGCCCAGGTTGCCCAGAGAAGCTGTGGCTACCCCTGGATCCCTGGAAGTGTCCAAGGCCAGGTTGGACGGGACTTGGAGCAATCTGGACTAGTGGGAGGTGTCCCTGCCCATGGCAGGGGGTGGGGATGGCTGAGCTTTCAGGTCCCTTCCAACCCAGACTGTTCTGTGATTATAAAACACCACAGGATGCATTTCATTCCCTCTGTTGTCTGTGGTGTGCAATCACACTTCTGCTCCACTGGTCACAGTATCAGCAGTTTGTTGTTCTTGCATCTCGAAGATACTGCATGGAATTAATTCCTCTGGAGCTGCTTTGTTCCAGTATCACTCAAAAGCACATACTGAGGGAATGTAAGGAAAGTTTAGCTGAGGAAGGCTGCTCCTTGTGGCTGGAATTGTTTTTTATCACTGACCTTGAAGAAAGCTGAATGCAGAAATTCCCATATTTACTATAAATGTGAAGCTGTTCCAAGAAGTTCCAAAATATGTATCCCATCTGATTTAGAGCAATGACCTATTCCTTTTATACAGTTATTAATTAATAATTATTTTTGCCATATTAAATGGCATAAATACAGAAAGAAATTAATTAAAAATTCCTTTTTTTTCTTTTCTGTTAATGTTATATTAGAATAGGAGGGCAAGACTCAGCTAATGGCCCATATTTCCTTAAGTCTGTAAAGAAAAGCTGATGCAACAGTCCCTCCATGAAAATGGAAATATTTTGACTGATTAAAATAAAAAAATAATGGCTAGTCATGCTGTCCTCTCTCTGTGATAACAAAAGAAGAAAGAAGAGGTGCTCTTACTACTGTGCACATCATTCGGTGTGTAAAATTAATGTGGGTGGTTCCCACAATTCAGGAACTTTCAGGCTTTATTCTGTGCCATCTAGAAAGAAAAGAAAGGAGACAGTAGAGAAGTTGCAATAGTCAGTAGTGTCTTGTGTACCTAAAGAATAAAAAAATTAAAAATAAGCCAAAACATGCTAACAGAGATGAGAACCTGCCATGCAGTGTGGAGATCTTTTGGGAGATGCAGCATTGGAGCTGCTTTATTGTGGACAGAAGTGTTCTTGAACCTTTTAAATCATAAGCAGTATAACTCATTCTGTGGGCAAATCAGCTTTCCACAGTTTTTACAGTTTGGAGATCTTGGGTCAATCCCATACCTGTCCTCTGGCTGGTTTTCTGGGGAAGGAGGAAAGGGAGAGAGGTGCTAAATCTTTCTTAAATTGAGGTGGATTGAGCATTACAGTCCATGACAGATGAACCCCAAAATCATGGACTAAACGAAGTCATTGCTGGAGTCAAGGGCTAATGAAATCAAGGGACATTGCAGTGGGATGCTCTGAGGGTAAAGAATGATATCTGTGTGTATAAACAAGGCAGCAAAGGTGGTGGGGATTAATTGGGATGTATTCATTGGGATGTATTAGGAAGTGTGGGACCTGGGCACGACGTAGACAGTATAGAAAAAGGATGGATATTGTCCTGCTTTCAGCTGAGACAGAGTGAATTCTCTTCCTACTGCAGGACTGTGGTGTGAATTTAGGATGAGAGCAGTGTTGGGGACACGGGGATGGGTCAGGAGGTGCTCACTCAAGTCAAGGAGTTCTCAACAAAGAAGCTGGGGGCACAAGAAGCTGGGAGGGGGCAGTTGGGACAGCTGATCCAAACTGGCCCAGGGGATATTCCAGAACATGTGACATCCCGCTGAACAATAAAGGGGGGGGCATTTGGCTGGGAGGTGGCAGCTGAGCATCTGTCTGTGGGTGGTGAGCAGTTGTGTTGTGCATCAATTGTGTGTTCTTTTATCACCATTATTATTATTTCCCCTTCCTTTTCTGTCCCATTAAATTGTCTTTAACCTCAGCCCCTGAGTTTTACCTTGTTTACTGCTCATCTCCCTCATCCCCCTGGTGCTGTGGGGTTCAGCTGCCTGCTGGGTAAAACCCCATAATTTTACATTATCAGTAAGGCACGAGGGGCTTTTTATCTTCTACAAATTTGCTGCATTTTTGTGGATTTTGTACTCCAGATTTCCCAGCCTCTGTTATTTTGAGTGACAGCTGTCTTGCAGTATTTCTTAACTTTTCCCTCCTAGTTGTATTCCCGAGCCTCTGAGGCTGAAGTTCCTGTAATTAGCAGGAATGTGGATAACTGTGTTTTGTCCTTAGCTTTGCTTCAAACTTCTTAGTAGGTGCTGACTTCAGAAAGTCTCCCCATTTGCTCCACAGGACCGAGCCCAAAATCTGAATGAGAGAAGGACAAGTACAACCACCCTGACAGTGGATGTGCTGGATGGGGACGATTTGGGACCAATGTTTCTCCCCTGTGTCCTGGTGAACAACACCCGTGACTGCAGACCCCTCACCTACCAAGCCAGCCTGCCTGAACTCACTGATCCTGTAAGTCCTCTGGAGTTTTGGCAAGTTTGATGTGTTTGTTTTGCAAGCAACTGCCCTCTGTTTCTGTGGACACAATTAAGAACTGTGATAGGAAGGTCCTGTGTGCTTTAGGCTGCCTTTTGTGTGTTAAGCAAAAGAAAACCAGGGTAAGATCCACATGGTGAAATCCCAGCTTTGATCCAGTGGCAAACTAATCCCTCAGTGCATAGGCTGAGTCTCACTGAAATTTGGTAAATTGTGGAATTGCTTTTCCTGATCTGTCTGTGTTTCACTCTCTGAATATCCCAAAGAAGCACTTCTGGGAAGGGACTTGACATGTTATTCCATGCAGGGTTGTTATAAACCTTAGGAGAAATATTTTTTTTTTGGAAGAGGAAGCATTAGTCACTCGTCCCTGGGAAGATTTTTTGGGTTTGTGGTCAGGTTTTGATCAAGAGGCACTGAAGAGCAGTGGGGGTTTATCTCATGTAGGTGCTTTTACTAAGTGTGTATGTTGGTATATCCATAAATAGGGATAAAGGTGAGTGTAAGGCTCATTTCATGCTCAGAGTGCACAGTGAATCACCAAATGAGGTGAGAACTTGATCATTTCTTGGTGCAAGACAGTGCTGGCACCCTTTCCCTCCAGGTTATGATGGAGATATGCATCTCTGTTGGGGGGGGCAACAGAAAGAGGAATTTCTCAATTGATGTATGACCTTTGTTTAAGAATAGAAAAAGGAAGAACCAGTTGAATCATGAGGTATTACCCCCCCTGGTTAACTTGGACATTAAGATGGCATTAAAATAATGTTAAACATGGACATTCAGGTCATGACTTGGCTCGTTGCAGGACACACTCTCTGTCCTGCTTCCTCCAGCCAGGAGACAGGGGAGGTTGAGGCTGTAAGTGTGGAGGTTCCTGCTGTTCCCTGCCTTGTCTGTCTTGCTGTCCTGTGCCTCGTAGTCTTTTCCCATCCCACACATTCCAGTGTCTTGCTTTGTCTGGCCCCAGGGGTCCTGCTGCAGTTGTACCTGAGCTGGGTCAAGGGAAGGGGAGAGAGGATCCATATTTAATCTTGGAGCATTGGTTTACACATCCTTCACACACACCTTGGCACTTGATTAGTCTTTATAACTGCATTTTACTTTAAGTTGATTTTACTTCTTTAAATTCTGCGTTACCTTGGTTTGGGCTTAGTGGCCTCACAGGGGTTCCAGAGCACCCAGATTATGGAGGATGACCAGGATGACCCCATCTTGCCTGCACAGATCTGCTCCAGTTCCCAGTACAGGGGCAGGTGAGGCAGGAATCATTACTAACTAGTGTTTGGCCATTCCCTTCTCTTTTTTTATCTGGTTGTAATGCAAACCACACAGTTTTGGGGCCACTGTGCTCTCAGATGAGGGCAGTGCAGCTCTGTCCCCGTTCCTGTCCTTGCTCAGGCACGTGTGCTCCACTGGAAGACACAGTGTCTGCCAGAGCTTGGAAAAATCTGCCCTGTGATGTAGGTGCAGAGTTACAAAATATTTTCATTTACCTCCCTAAGCTGCAGTCAGTTCAGGTTCTGTTCAGCTTCTTTTGTTTGCTTTCTGGCTTTTTTTTTGCATCGAACTGCACTGTGAGAAATGTGATCTCTGAAACGAGAACCTGGTTCTGGTGATAAACTCTGAACTTTCTGCTGTTTATCTGCTTGCAGAAATTTTGATAAACCAAACTGGAAGAACTTATACATTGGTGCCTCAAACATCTACTTGACTTTTAAGTGATAATTCCTTTAGAAGATACGGATGGTACCTAAAAAGATTCAACTAGGAAACACCTGTATTACATTTATCCTTTATTTTATCTTTTTATGTGTTATATTTATTCTTTATTAACCTACTGTTAAGCTACTACATAGCTACCATTACCCTACTCCATAGGCTAAAGGACTTTTTTTAGTTTAACATCATCCTTTTGTTTTTTTCTTTTTTAATTTTCTTTTTAATTTTGAAATGAACATGAGAAGGAATATTAATGAATCTAAAGCAAAGTTGAAGTATGAATTATTCAGAAGCAATAGCTTGAAAGAGAAGTCCTGCTTTGCAGGGCAAGATGTCTACTCAGCTGACCCCTGAAGGATTTAGTGTAGGTGGGAAGAGTCATATTTTGGCTCAGTCTTGCACAATTCCTTCTCTGCAGTTGGCATCTATCCATGAATTTACTGAGGTGTTTCCACTCCAAGCTGCTTTCCCTTGGACCCAGAGCAGTTGGATCCATTGGCAAGGAAGAATCCATACAGTGTCTGCTTTGTTTATGGTCTTGGGCTGAGCTGGAAGAAACCAGTGATGGAGGAAAAACTACTTCACAAATTCCCAAACCAGGAAAGGAAATAAATCTCCTGACTTCTGAGTCCTGTAATAATCATTGCCAAAATTACCCTGCAAAAAAAGATACCAAAGCCCATTCTAAGACAGCATTGTTTGAAGTTCTGCCTCATAAAGTCAGAGGCTTTGCATATGTGTTATTTCCTTTAGAGGATTGCAAGAAAGTTTCCAAGAATAGCCGTGTTGTTTGTTGATTGGGTTTTTTGTTGTTGTTATTGTCATGACATAGTTTTATATTTAAATTATATTTGGGAATTAATTTTTTCCTCCTTTTGTATCAGGAAGACTTGAATGAATTAGCATTTGTTATGGGGACATGGAAGCCATCAAGTGGAGTTACAAGGTAGAACCTCATGAATATCTCACAGCCTTGGAAAGACAATTTCTCCTCCCTCCTTCCCCTTCAGTCTGTTCCTGTCACACGTGCTTTGGGAAGGTTTCCTCCCTTTCTGTACTTGGTATCTTCCATCATCATGCAAAGAAGAAAAGCCAGTTAGCAGCAAAATATAGATGAGGTTTGATTAATTGATTGCTGGCCTGGTTTTGTGAGGCTGTGCTCCAGTGTCATGTTCCAGGGGGTAATTCCCACTCTTATACTCCAGGACACCTTTGAGCCTGGCTTTGTCCTCAGGCAGGACTCAGCCTCTCAACAACTCAGCACTGGGAGTTGTTGCTTGTCCCTGCACTGCTGATGGATCCTTCTACGTGGAAAACATTTGGTTTTGTACTAATTATCCTCAGAATCCTCAGGAGCTGTGTCAGCAGGGACCTTCCCAGGTCTGTGGGCTCAGCTGCCCTCACGGAGAAGGGTCTGAGCAGGGCCCTGAGAGATGAAAGGCTTAAACCAAAAAGAGCTTAAAAAGTTCTCGAAGGACAGTGCAGTTGAGGGGGGTGAAAAAAGACACTGAAGAGCAGAAATTGCCCCTAGAAGCCCTCAGGTTTTTATTAGAGAGAAAGACCTCTCTGGTTCCATCAGTTTGGATTCAGGAGGAGAAAACTGCATTTCTTGGAGGTGGTGTTGTAATCCTGCTGGATGAGGCTGGTGTTGGGAACACAGGACACTTCCTAAGTATCCAGGTTTAATCAGCTTTGTACAAATCACTTTTATGCTTATTATTGAGAGCTAATTAACACTGCAGAGGATGGGCTGGTTTTTGGGTTCCTCTGGCCTCGAAGATGACAAGCACTTACCAATTCTTCCCAACTGAATTCTCTTGCAGCTCCTTGTACAAATCCCAATTCCATCCAAACACAAAACCTCCTGGAAGTTTTCTCACAGAGACACATTGACATCAAACTTGCAGTAGCTCAAGTGATGTCTAAAACCTCTAGAAACAGCATCTCCCCATCTTAGTTCTAGTGGCAGGTATTAGTCAGAGGGTGAAGTCCATCATCATGTTCTGGGTTTTCTCTGGTGGTTTTTTAATCAATTTATTTATTTCATTATTCCTGGGAGAAATCCCTGCCCAGAGAAGACATTTGATCCAGGGATCTACCACACAAACTAACAACAAATACCTTCCTGAGGTGTGTGGGGCACTTGCTAGTTCACCTTGAGCTCCCCATACAGCTGCCAAGGAAGATTTTGGGGGCACTGCAACACACAGTCTTCATAATTTGGCCTGTTAAAACTTTACTCTGAGTTGAAGTGGGTATGTGTGATTAAATCAGCTTTGATAAAAGCTTTCAACAAATAAGAAATGCCTCTTTCACCTGCATGAAGGGTAAAATCCCACAGAGTAAGTGGGGTTTTCCTTGCTGACTTTTAAGCCTGACTGCTTAAAGTCAAACCCATGGGAGTGAATTGACCCCTAACGACAGTCAAATTGCAGAAAAACAAAATTTCAGCTCAGACTGCCAGTTTTCCTTGCCAAAGCTTTTCTTTTTCTTGGTTAGATGTGGTACATTTAAAACTGCAAATGTTCATGGTTAATTTAGGAAGTTGTTGGTTTCTGGAGCAGTTGAATCTCAATCTGCCTTTATTTTCTTTGCCTTATTTGCACTAAGATTTGGATTTTTTAAATTCAAACATAGTAAAAGAGGTTTGCCAGCCTTTGGCTTGCTCTGCCTGTAGAATCTTACGAGCTGTTGCATCCAAGCTTCAGGAAATTATTTGGGATTTAATTTGTTTCTAATTATTCCTTTCTCAACTGAATAGGTGCTGTCCAATTTTTGGGGCTGATGCTCTCGTAGGGGATGGTATTTACACTTCATGCTGGAATTAGACCATGATTGAGCACAGTTATGTCCCCTGGCTTAATTAAATGTTTCAAGTCTGGCTTCCAGAGAAAACAGAGCTCTCATCATTAGGAGAACTGCGTGTTTCTCTTTGTACAAATAATTTTGGTGAAGAAAGAAGTGACTTTTTATGTTTTGAATAATCAGAGTCCAGCTCTGCTGTTATTTAGACTAAAATGTTTGGTGCAAGATAATACATGCTGTCAGCTGTTGGGCTGTGAGATGAATGTGAATTCCTGGGTAATTCCCAGCCAAAAATTATTTGGTGGACAGGGCAATGATATCACCTCAGCCATAGCATAAGAAACAACCATAGAAATGCTTTAAAAATTGTCTGTATCTCTACATGCTCGGGTTGTTTGTTCAGTAAATTAGAAAAGAACCTCACAAGCGAGGCTTTGAATAGTCCCTTT